TCTTTGTTGACCGTTTGAGTACGATGACTCATTTAGCGGCTGTGCCGGATTCGATTGATAGTGAACGTACAGCACAGCTGTTAATCAGTCGCGTGTTTCGTCAACACGGTTTGCCCGTGGGATTAGTTTCAGATCGCGATCCTCGCTATACAGGTAAGTTTAGGAAGTCCTTTTTAAGGTGCTCTGCACCATATCGGACATGTCCACCGAGGATCATCCGCATTCCGATGGTCAAACTGAACGCGTTAATCGTGTTACTGGTGACATTTTGCGCAGCATTAGCGCGGATACGCCTCGGCGTTGGAGCTCCATTCTTCCGATGGTCGAATTTGACATGAACAATTCGGTCTATGCTTCGATTGGCTACACTCCGTTCTATGTGGACGGCCTCACCCATCCGCGCGTCCCATTGACGCTACCACTCCGTGGGTCCGGGCTTGATGGGGAAGGGATTGCTGATCGGCTTTCTGATGTCAGCCCTGCCACTGTTCAGAAATAGGTTGGTGAGTTCCTCGAAACAAGGTTGAATGTCTTACGACATGTGCAAGGTGCAATGGCTGATAGCCAAGATAAACAAAAGGAACAAGCAGATGCCAAAGGCAGAAATGTTATTGAAAGTTATGAGGTCGGAGACCAAGTCTTGCTAAACGCTAAAAACTACCTACAAATGTAGTTTCAGCTTTTTTTAAAACGAAGTTGCGTCCGCGCTTCATTAATCCTTTTACAGACGTGGCCAGGAAGGGTCTTGCGCACACGATTAACTTGCCGCGCAAATTGCGTTCACATCCCGTCTTTTATGTCGGCCTGCTAAAGCCATACCGGGACCCGTCCCATGTTGACTTGAAGGCGCTTGTGACGCGTACATAGGCGTTGCCACAGGATGTTGCATCCGAATGAAGAGGTCAAGTTGAGCCTCGACACGAGTCTGACGTGATTCCATCATCTGAAGACGGGAGCGATCGCCTTTCAACGTCGCCAGACGAAATCGGGCTTCGCTCTGGGCTTTCTGAGTCTGTCCCAAAGTCTCACGGAGATCCTTCATTTTCTTCACCAGCTCAGGATGGCTATCAGCCGATACTCCGAACGCCACCAGCGTTGCTTGATATGCAAGGGAACTTACAGTTCCATGTGGAGCGGGTACTACAAATTCGTCGTCGTCATTTCACTACCAATATCTGGTGAAGTAGCGTGTGTACCCTGAGTTTGAAAAATCATGGGAGTATGAGATTCCCCTTCGGCAAGACTGCCCAGGCGCCGTTGACGTATTTGAGCGCCACGATCAGGCCCATCTTGACGAGCTTCACGCTGTTTACTCGTCGTAGTGAAAGCGGTCGAGTTCCTGTTAATTAAACTGAAGTGAATTTGCGGCTGCAGAGACAGCCGAAGCATAGCTAAAGCGTTACACTTCCCGCAGACGGCCTCTGGCCTTTAACTTCGCTAGGTTTAAGCGAAGCTTTCGCTCTAGACGAACGTATGCCACACTGGCACTTTCGCGTAGCACATGCATGCTGCTGAGGTGTAGAAAGCCATGTACCCAGCGGATGAACCTATTGTCCTCCGCAATTACGTCTCCTTCTTCTGACATAACGAGGAGTGTACCCCTAATTTGTGGAACTGGAGTTCCTTAGGCCTGCTTTTGCAGCCGTTCTCTGCATTTACTCAAAGTCATCACAGTAGGTTTCAAGTACCTCTCTCGAAAAGCCTTGCGGCATTCGATTTCAGTATGCGTTTTCACTCCGGGGCCGGTGGCCCATGTTGCCAAAGTATGGCGTGACGCTTGACGTTTTAGTTATTCCACGCCAGGTGGAATGAACGAATGTTCACTGTGTTGTTGCAACTTTTCCTGAACTTCTGACTTGCGTCGTGCGCTTGCCGCTTAATTTAGGATGCTTTTTTGCTTCCTATCAAACGGATTTGTGATAATGGATGTATGCGTGGAAGACATTGCTCCCAAAGCTGTTGGCGCAGTCGCGGCACAACGTTCGGGGAACGGATTAAGTGCCAGATGGGGAATGTCCCTACGCAGAGACGTGTTAGTTTTAACTTGCTCCTCCCCCTCGCCTTTGGTATCACTACCACTATCGAAGTCCACGTCCTCGACACCAAGGAATTTGGCTAAAGCCTTATCTTCCAGAAAATGCCCCGTTCGGTCCATGTGAGTGTGTTACTTTTGTAATCAGTTATAATGGGAGAATGATACGAGTAACGTTTGTGGTAACTTCAGTCTGGTGGGGGAGGGTGTAACGAGGTCACACTAGCCTGTGGCGAAATTGGTCAAAGACCCCTTCAAAAATGATGTGGATGAATGTGTGTGACCTAAGATTTTATATCAGCAAGAGAATATCGATCGATCGATATTCCAGGTTTGCGGTACTTACCGTGTACCTACTTTGTACCGTCATCATTTGATGACTGCGTGATGTCCTAACCATCCCTTTAGTTCGAATACTAATATATGTATTAGTTTAGTTTAGTATAATATAGGGTACTTACAGTAGGATTTTCCTTGATATGAAATCTAAATATACTCAGTTCTCATTTTGAGCAGAAGTCCTAGACCCCCCCCCCTTTTCGCACATTGTGCCCTGCAGTTCCTTAGAACACCCGTAGCTTAGAGAGTCTTTAGAATCCTATTCCCCTGCACATTGTGCTTGTGGTTCTCTAGAACTACACAGTAGTTGAGCTGTTAGCTCGTAGAGCCCACCCGAGTTCCGTAGAACTAGGTGACTCTTTAACTTAATATAATAGTTCCGTAGAACGAATAGGCTATCAACCGTTAGCCATTGGCTTGTTAAACAAGTCTTCCTCTGACTTAAAGAGATGTGTAGATCCGCTACATCTGAGGCTTGTGTAACGAGGCACCCTTTATCTAGGTGCCACGAAACTTTACGTACACTGGTACGTACAGAGGAAGCTAAACTTCTTGAACGACTCGACCAAGTAAGGCAAAAAGAGAACTGTGTCTAATACATTTAAGCTCTCAATACAACTTCAATGTTCATCAAACTATATTAAACTACGCCGTCGTATGACGACAACCTGCTCACCACTCATTGCGCGCGTCCAGCAGCGATTGGTGGCGATCTATAGTTGATATGTGTTATATCAACCAATCTTGGAGCATCGAATGAATTTTATCCAAAAGGGGATAATATTCCTTCATGTTATCCATCCCGGATAATATCGGTAGAACATTGTCACAATAGACAATTACCTTTTTGACAGCTTTTGGTGTCAATTTCATGTAACGGGCTACCCCTTTACATCACTCTCCCCCTTAACCACAATCACCCGTTGGTTGAATTAGAATTGATTGGGATAGGGTGACTTTCGTTGGATCACTCTGGGAAAGGGAGCACTTGTTGGTCAAATTCCATTCATCTGCCAATTCAACGCATGGTTTTAAAACCACGCGAGCTGCTACTGCAGCAGCAAGAAGGGCGGCTGCACGCATGCTTGCGGCCGCGGAGAGTGCCTCTCACACCTCAGCAGCAAGCGATTCGTCGCCTGTTGCCGTGAATCCTCCACGTGGTGAGTCACCACGTGCGACAGGTGCATCCGTTGCGTCTGGAGCGGGTACCTCGAGTCGTAATCAAGACGAGTCTGATATAGAGCTCATCTATTCCGGCGAGTCGGATGATGCAAACGACTCGAAGGCGACTCCTCACGCCTCCTGATCACCGGGGCGGAGACTGCAAGAGTCAGGTTGACTGGCTCTGGTCAATGCGGCGGTATCATGACCGAGATCTTCGAATCGAGTGATTATTCCGATGAATCGTCACCTCACGCATGTCCATCCAGCGATAGGACGCGTGGGGATGGTGGTGATGCACCTATACATCACCACGAGCGAATTAACTCAAGGGATCGGGGTAACACTGGTGCCAGTGCTCATGCTGGCACCAATCAAGTGGCCAGGAACCGAAATGTCCTGCGCCACGCTCCCCAAGTGGAGTCTCTGTGGATGCCGTCATCCAGAGAGAGGGACCGGTTGGCTGGCATGACTACCGAACAGGAACGAATGCCGTTGTTCTATTGCAGGAAGATTTGCCCATCTGAATCCAGCACGGAAACTATCCGTGCTGAGGAATAGTTCTTCACCGATGCGTTCTTCAAAAATCGGTGGTTCAACGGAAAGCGTAACCGGGAAGGTAAGGCCTTGGTGATAGGATGGAATGCTCTCATCCACAACATCGAGTGTATCGGCCGGGAGGCCTAACTCGATAAACTTGATGCAGCTCTCATCAGGTTTGAGAAACGCAACCCAGTCGGCATGCGATACGAGTTGCATCGACTGTCAAGAGAGGCAGGATTGCTCTGTCTCTCGTTGGGTGATTCGTGTCCAGGTTGCCTGGACATCTCGAAGCGTGCCCCTATGGACGCCTACCTCCCTTATGATCCCTACTGGAGGGCGCGCATATCTTCCGAGATGGCCGAAGGGATTTACACTTTGCAATCCCTGTACTCGCGTTCGGGGGGGGTCGTTTTCCGACGGCCCTTCTTCAAATGCAGCGGGTGGGTCTAGTCGTACTGCTCGACGAGAACAAGGACATCAACAATCAGCTGGGCACGAGGCTCCCAGCTGACCCACGCCGGTGGATAGCCACGCCAGCGGACGAGGTAGCTCGTCCGGACGCCATTCACATCGCGGTGATTCAAAATGCTCTCCAACGGAAAGCGTTGACTACCGCTTGAGTCCACTACAGGATGTGGTGGTAGCGGGAACACCTGATCAGATAGAAGATCAGATCAGCTTGATGTTCAGAAAGTGAACCGTGAAACGGAACAGTGACACGATGACCTGGCCCGTGAACAAAATGTGGGTTTTGAGCTACATGAAATTGTAAAAGACCACTACATTTTCTAAGCGCACAATCGTTCGAACGATCGTGCCGCGTTGCGTTTGCCAACTTGAGAAAAAGCGTTCGACTCGTTCTCTTCATGAAGAGCTGGCTGCAGCTCGTCGAGACATCGCTGAGCCGCGTGAACAGGTAGCTTCGCTAGTCGACCAGACTGGTTCGTTGAAACGGGACCACTCCCGAAGGTGGTCTAGGCTCTCGACCGTGGAGGTGTTCTTCGCATCGCGAAACGGGCTCGTACTGATAGTACGGGCGGAGACGACCAGCGTAAAACGTAGGATGCGTGCGCATCTTACGGGGAAGTTCAATCGTGTATGCGTTGCCCATTCGGCGCAACACACGAAATGGACCGATGTACTTGGGCAGTAATTTACTGCCGCTCACGTTTGTCACTGCGTGCTTGGGTAACTTTACTGTAGACAGTAAAACTAGGTCTCCTTCGTCAAATGAAAGAACATTTGCTCTTCCGTGTTTGTATGCGTTTCGCTTCTGTCTGTCCAGTGCATCTGCAATAGAGTCTTGAACGAAGCGGACAACCGCTTCGCGAGTCAGCAGACATTCCTCTGCTGATTCATCCTTGTCAATAGCAGTGCGCTTCGTGTGCACTGCTGAAAGAACGTTGTCTTCACCAGTGAGGGTATCATCGTCCTCGCTTTGGCGGTCTTTGGCGATGCTGAATATGCCAGCATCGTCGTCATCGTCGTCATCGACATCGATCCCATCGACATCGGCATCCATCACGTTGACACCATTGTCGACGGGTGATGAGCAAGAACCAGATCGATTTTTGTTCGAGCGAGTCCACCCCCCCCCTTAAACTAGAGTAGTGCTCTAAGAAGGCGGGTTAACGTGGATGGCGTAGGCCATTCACGAAGAACGGTGTATGCGTTGTCGACGCGTGCACCTAGTTTTTGATGGCGAATTCCGTCATCGGCAAGATTTTACTCCAACTCGCGAACAAGTGGACGCACCCTTGAAATATCTCTTCGAACATTCGGTTAACGCGTTCCGTCTGGCCTTCTTTTTCAGGATGGCCAAAAGTTGTCATCTTCAAACGTGTTCTAAGTGAACGGAACACAGATTGAAAACTCCGCTGTGAATCGGGGGTCTCTATCGGACACGAATTCACGGGGTAACCCGTGAAGTCGGAAGGTAGTATCAAATAAGACAAGATCAAAGCCCTGGGTCTTGAAAGACTCCGGTACAGCAACAAGATGTACCATCTTGCTGAACCGATCAACAATCACAAGAAAACCAGTATTCATGTGAACGTCTTTGGGAAACCCAAAGACGAAGTACATCGATACGAACTGCCAACACTATACCGGAATCGGAAGAGGCTGCAATGGTGCATGAAATGAAGGACTGGGCTTCACCCGTTGTCACACTTCGCAAGAACGGATGTATATGCGCACAAAATCATACTCACGAGGCCAGTAGAATTCACGACTCACCGTGAGGTAAGTCTTTTCTCTACCACGATGCCCACTCGTTGATGCAACGTGACACTTATGCATGGTGCGCAATCGCAAATCATAATGAGCCAAACCGACGAAACGACGACACGAGGTGTGTCGCCGTTGACTGCTGTATAGTACAGCAGTCCATCACGAACCGAATACCGTTCGGTTGAAGAGCGGTATTGAGACGACAAGCTTTTCAAAGCTTGATTACACGGATTGGATACGTAATCCATCAATCGCAGAAGAGACTCATCTTCTGTACATGCTTTTCGCACGTCATCGAGCAGATTAGACGACGGAACACTCACTGATAGTGTCGCAACAATGGGATCACCCCTGCTGTTGGGTTGAGCAGTCGGATCAAAATAGGGCTGACGCACAAGAGCTTCAGCGATAACATTAAGTCGTGTTGGTTCATGCTTAACGGAGAAGTTGTACTCAGCAAAGAAAGACAGCCACCTCTCCATTCGTTGCGAGAGGTGTGGACTGTTTACGGCCGTGCGTAACGACGCATGGTCGGTATAAACGATGAAGGGCCTATCTCCTAAAGATCTCTTCTCGTGTTCTCTAGCAGACGAGAGAGATGTACGGTCCACTCGGCGCAGTTGCGCGAGTACTTGTGCAAGTTAACCACCAAGCCAAGGAAATTTCGAAGTCCTTTGACGTCGACTGGCCATGCCAGTCGCTAATCGCCTTGATCTTTTCCGGATCAGGGCGTACACCGTTTTTACCCACGAAGCAGCCAAGAAGTGGTATTTCGTTCGCTACGAATATGCACTTCTTGAGATTGACATGCAATTGATGCTTTCGCATGATTGTAAGAACCTCCCGGACGTGGATTCTATGAACCTCCACGTCCGTCTTTCCATCCATAGCCCGGCTATGGACGAAGACATCATCGAAGTAACTCGGTGCGAAGTCGCGCACCGATAGCAACAGATTCGTAACACATCTGTTAAACGTTGAGGGGGCGTTACTTAGCCCCTGTGGCATCACTAGCCACTCATAGTGCATACCACTGGGGGTGCTCACTGCTGTTTAAGGGATATCCCGTTCACGCATGGGGATCTGATAGAATCCATCCACCAGATCCATGGATGAAAAGATAATACTTTTTGCCATACCATCTATGATGAAGTCCTTTCTTGAGATCGGCGTTTGAGCCGGTATCGTTGCAGCATTCAATTTGTTGAGCGCGTGCACTATCCGCCACCCTCCTGTGACCTTTCGCACACAGAAGGTCGGAGAGCTGTGTGGGGATGTTGATTCCCTCACATGACCAGCCGCTAAGCGATCGGCAAAAAAATTGTCAATCGCTGTGACATGTTCACGAGGCAGTGGCCACTGCTTCATGACACGGTATTTCGAACCGGTTTCCGTTCGATCTCATGCCGAGTGCCTTTGTCCTTAGGCATATCGCATGGAACGGATTCCGGGAAAACATCCCTGAATTTTTCCAAATCCTTATACAAAGAATTTGTCGATTAAGAGTCCCAAGATTCAGACGTGAACCGCTCAATTCGAATCATCTCATCGATAACACTTTCGTCCATCGATGAGCTACTGAGAACCCGTTCGTTCTCATCAAACACTTGTGCCAACCTAATATCGGTGACGTACTCGTCCTCTTTGACGAGTAGGCAGATCTGCTTGATCTTGTCACTACGCAGATCTCGCAAGAATCTATTAGATTCCAGCTTTGGCAACTTGACCACCTCCGAAGCTGACTTCGGGGGCGTCACCAGATCAAGTGTATAAGCGCCTACACTTGATCCGTCATTCACCAAGACAATCACTAACTCGGTGATTTCCTGGGAAAACACATCCGCAGGTGGTTAAGGATCCACACCCTCAGCATAACTCTCTCGGAATTTATTGCTCTCAGGAACGCCAGATTTTTCTTCCGTTACGGGTACTATCGCGGTCACGTCCTCTTCGATCGATCCTCTTTCAGTCGATCGGGCTTGCTCTACAATCGACTCTCTTTCAGTCGCTCGGGCTTGCTCTACGATCGAATCTCTGATAGCCGATCTCGCTTCAACGTGTTGTTCATCCTGAAGAACACTCATCTCTATTCTTGGATGCACCCTTCTTGGTGTGCATCCGTGTTCCAGTCCACTCGGTCTCTTAGAGTGGTGAACCTACGGCGCAGCCTGTGTCTCTACACAGTTTCCGGAAGCTGGGATCCATAGTGCAGTGGCCTTCTACACTGTTATCTCGTGCAGTCATCCTAACGAACGTACCACAAGTGAGGCCATCGCACTTACTCGTAGTACATCCACACGCTTGTGGACGCTCCAAGACGTTCATCAGATGGCCATCCGATGAAGGAACGGCAGGCATCTTCACGGATCGATGCTGCCAGCTGATCCATGGCTGGTATTTTCTAAGCCATGTCAGACCAAGGATGACATCAAATTTGTCATCCAAATCTAATACGATAAATTCATCATCGTTCTGCTTTCCTTCTATCGTGTAGTGGATTCCCACTACACGTTAGTTCACTGTTACGGGTGCGCCTGTAGCAAGGCACACCGTCATCCTCGTTGGAGGGAACTCTCGCTCAACATAGTTGAGACTACTATCCCCTAGTGACTGGCGTCGAATAAAATTGTTCGACGCCCCACAGTCAGCTAGAGCGCGAAGTGACATTCCACTTGTCACTTCGATTTTCAAAGTGATGAGAAACTCCTCATCACTGAAGGCAGTAACACACAGCGACTGCGTGTTGGGAGCAATCTTCGTCAAGAGTCCTGCAAATTCTCTTGACGTTGCTGGGATCAGCAGGGTGCTCCGCCCCTACTGACCCTGACCGTTTTTTGACGGTCCGACTTGCTGTCGCGGCTTAGCGACATGGTCGAACCCACGCCTCGGACCCTTCCTTGGCCAACGACGGTCATCACTTCCTGTCTTTGGACGTGTTGCAGTGGAGTGGGACACTACACGCATGAGCGTAGTGTCCAATCTTCTGACAGCGATGGCATCTTGCCACTCGCTTGTGACTCAGAGAGCGAGAGTTCTTGCTCTCGATGTATCAGAGGTCCATTGGTTCGGGACCTCCTGTTTCCTGTCGCCTCGTCGGACGATAGTTTGACGAGTTAGCCTGAGACTGTCTCAGGCTGAAGTCTTCTTGTTCCGCATACGCTATCGCCCTTTCCAGCGTATGCAAATCCTCTCGGAACATGTAGGTCTTCACCGGCTCATCCACAAGGCCGTAGGTGAACACGTTGACGAGCGTGTGCTCATAAACAGGGTTCTCCGTAACGCTACTTGCAAGGTAGCGTAGGTGCTGTGCGTAAGCGTGCACGTCACGCTTACCTTGCTTTAGCCTCAGGAGTGCATAGCGTGCTCTGAACTCGGCTCTCGGCGGCTCAAACGTCTCTTTGAGCCGAGACTTCAAGATCTATAGCGACTCTACACGTTTGGGTCGTGAAGCTTGAGCCCTAAGACCCAAGTCTTTGCTCATTTGACAGGGCGAAGGTGACTTGCATCTCGTCACCCTCGATGTGACGGGCCCTGATGGCATCGTCTAACTCGAAGAACTACCTCAAAAGGGAATCTTCATCGGTTCCCTTGTACCTTGAGATATCTATCTTCAAGGTTTCGGTTCGACGCATGTGCGTCGGCCCGCCCATCGACTGATGAGAGCCTTGCTGCTGTAGCAAGGCTATCTTCTGTCGTTCGACGGCAAGTTCCCCTTGTAGGAACTTGTTGATAGCAGCATGTTGCTGATCTCTGTTTAGAGAATCCAACATACCACTGATGGCGGCTTCGCTTATGATCACACTCGTGCGGCCGACTATCTCCTATCACGAGACAATCATTTTGGATTGGCCTCCACGTGCGATATCGAAGCTGTCGTCTTCTACGTCCAGCATGTTCATGTTGGACGGACACTGAGTAGTCGTTGGACGGACTGCGAAGTGCTACAGGTGTAACATGGCACCCTTTTTCTAGGTGTCACAAAACTTTACTTACACTGGTACGTGCAGAGGAAGCTAAACTACTTGAACGACTTGGTCAAGTAAAGGTAAAAAGAGAAATGTATTTAATAAAGTCAAGCTATCAAAATAACTTTAATCTTTATCTAACTATATTAAACTACGCCGTCGTATGACGACAACCTGCTCACCACTCATTGCGCGCGTCTAGCAGCGATTGGTGGCGATCTATGGTTGATATGTGTTATATCAACCAATCTTGGAGCATCGAATGAATATTATCCAAAAGGGTATAATATTCCTTCATGTTATCCATTCCGGATAATATCGGTAG